CTGCTGGTGATCCCCGAGTTCATTCCTGGGCTCCCCGACTTCCACTCCAGCAGCACCTCATGGCTTAAAGCAGCAGCCAGGAGCAGGAGGTGAACCTCCGTCTCTTTCTCCTTGTTTCCAGGTTTCTGCTGCTTCATTTATTTTCACGTCTTTGGACAGCGTAATTCCTGCAGGTGTATTTTTATTATTCCTGGAGTTAGCAATGTGAGGCATTTTGCTGTGAAATGTGTAAGAGTATACTCTGTTGCCCCTTTGTCGTCCGGGGTGATTGGAGAACAGCTGCCCAGGCCGTGCCATCTCAGGAATGACACTCCGAAAACGGTTCCCAGCCTCCGATGGTTTAAGATACTTTTCCCTTTTCTTTCTTTCAGACGTACTCTTGTGAAAGGAGCGTGGGAATGTGAAGTTGACAATAGGTCAGAGGAAAAGTGAGTAATTTGGTGTAGTATTTGCTGTCGAGGGGGTCAGATTATGTTACATACAGTTGACAATGCCGTACGAGACAGCCGGGGTGTGAGAGGATCGGGGCAGGTGCCCGCAGGTGCTGGCGGGGGAAAGGGGATGACCACTGACGCTGCCTGACCCCCGGCTGCACCCTGGGGATCCTGACATGTTCCTGCAAACAGCCGGTCCCCAGTCGGTGGCGGCCATCTTCCCAGGACCCGGCATTGCTCCTCGTTGTGCGTCGTCTGCACACACACACACACACACACACACACACTGCTGGGGTGCCTCTTTATTTCCAGAATGACTGTACCTCACGAACAGCAACATGCAACTGTGAATCACTTGATAAATCATATCAGCGTGTTAAATTAATTCTTATTTCACAGTCACTGTAATATTTCACCAGCATTAACATTAACAAGTTTCATTTTTGCAGAACATTATGCAGAATACTTCACAGGCTGGCTGACCGTACCGAAGGTAGCCAACAGTACACATTTGCACAGGTAGAAATTGCTTCAAGGCAGGAGTAAATAATGAAAACAGATTCTGAATTTTGTGATTAAATAAGACCTTAGATAGTTATTCCTCTGACATTTTGGTATGTGTGTCATGTATAGTGGCCCCTTCTTAAAAAGCAGTTAGATACTGATATCTGGGGATACCATACTTGGTGGGTGTTTACTGGTTTTTCATCATTTGACAATGCAGGACTGCCAGTGACTTCTGATCTCTTTGACTAGACATTTGGATTTGCTTGTGTTTTTTTGCCTTGCTGGCTGTTTGTAATTAAAGGTGCTATATGAGCCTGCACTATGCTGATTATTCCATTTAGTCTGCCTGTCAAAATGTAGAACTTCATTACTTCCTTTCAGTCAGGGTTGTTTCTCTAAGTTGGCTCAGAGGCGTTTCAGCTGCAGTTTGGATCTTGAATGACTCCTGTAATGTAATTAGAGCCCTAAAGGTTACAGGTATGTGAGAACTCTTTGTTTGTTTTAACTCAGTCACCTGCCTGCGAATATTGGAATCTTGGAAAGGGATTATTCCCTGCTGTGATGTTTTTAAACACCTGTGATACTGAACTCCTAAACCGGTCCTGCTGACCGTCTTGATGGCCGGGAAGGGCCGTGGGGCTGCTCAGTCAGGTCCTTGTCTCGTCGTCGCTGTGTGATTTTAGTGCAGTGCCCGTCTTCTTATTCCGTCCTCTTCCTGGAGGGCCTGAAGGAGCGATGTTCGCTCACAAGCCATGCTTGCTTGTTTGGCTATGCTTGTGAGCCGTGGTGCGGAAAAACAAAAGGCCTGTGACGCTGTCCGAAGTGTTGTTTATACAGGGGTGCCCCAGGAGTCAGACCCCAGGTGTTGCGCCCTGTCGTCGGTGTACATTCCTGCGTGGGCTCAATTATCTCATCATCCGCGCCCTCTCCGCCGGCTCACTCACACCCGCCGAGCCCGTCTGTCCTCGTTCCGTCAGAGCTCCTCCTCCGTGGCGCTGCTTAAACTTCCCGCTGTGTCTCCAGGCTGCCAAGCCTGTGTGCTCCGAACGTGCCTCCCGTCTTGTCCTGTCTTGTGGACCTGTGGATATCCCGGTGTGAACCCTGCTCCTACTCGGGCTACGCCCCTGTCTATGCCCTCGGCACCTCCGCTGTGTTCGGACCACCCTGTCCGACCCCGACCTGGACCTCCCCTACCACCCTCTTGCTGTGCTCAGAGGAATTCCTTCATAGGGTCCAACATGGCGCCCCAGGCGACCGTAACACCAGGTGATAAAAGATCTTCACCTAAACTGTCACACGTCTCTGTCTGAATCAGAAGCCCAGTGGGCAGCAGGAGTGTGGCTCTGGTGTGAAACATCCTGCTGGCCCCCATTATCGCTTGGTATGGCAGCAGGCAGCCTTGAGGAACAATATTTACTCAGGTCAACAGTCCAGCCTGCTTTCTGCGTTCCTGTGTTTTGTTTTTTCACCCCAAGCGCCCGTCGTCCGCACGCGGTGCCCGGCTGATAACGATTTGCCCTTTCGGCAGCCTGAGCTAATCTTGTTTATAGAGAGAATCTGTGTGGATTGAGGAGCCCGTCGCTCTCGGCTGCTCTCCGGCGCGGCAGGCGGGAGGGGGGAGGGTCAGCCGAACGCTTTCATGTCAGTCGACACAGCAGCTCGCAGGGGAGCCACACGGTGGGGTCGGCGGCGGCTGCAATCACACAGGACAGGGAGGACTGATAAAGCTGTAGGAGATGGCGGTAAGGAATGCATTGAACAAACTTCCAGACTAGTAAATCAAAATATATCATTCGGACCTAAATGGCCTTGTGGACTTCGGAGTCTTTCTTTTGTTCCTTAAGGGCTATAGGTGGCTATAAAGGGCTTCAAGGGTGAAGGGGAGTCCCCATTACCTGTAAAGTGGAGTGTCCAGAAAAGTGCTATAGAAGTGTAAGCAATTAATTAATTAATTATATGAACCCCCGGCCCACGTCCAGTTATCAGGTGAGCCAGTGTGCTGCTTTGTCCTAAACGTTTCCTCCTTTCTTCAGTGCTGCACGGTTCCCGTTTCCTCGTGGAGACTTGATTCTGGGCAGTGAAGCACAGTAAAAGAAACATTTTCTCCGCCGTGTAGTCACTGTGGCTTCACCATACAAACTGATAACAAACAAACTCCATGCAGACAGCGCCCCAGGAATTAAACCCAGGTCCCAGGCGCAGAGAGACAGCGATGGTAAACACAGCGTCACCCCGCTGCCCGTTATTATATAATATAATAGAATTCCAGAAGTGGCTTTCTGGAAGCAACATACACTGCGTGAGACACACCAATTACCACTCCATAACTCATATCCTGATACCAAAGGATGAAGTAATGCAAGCCAGCTGGACGTGCCAGAATGCAGCTTGGCCAGTCCCAGTCGCTGCCAGCCCAGGTCTTGGACAGGCAAGCAGCACATGGTGATCAGTGATGAGTACATAAACATAATGGGAGAAGAAACACAGGTTTCTTTGCTATGCCTGTTTCTGAGATTAATTTGATTCATTTTGACAGGAAGTTTTAATTCCACTGTGGTCTGAAAAGTTCCTTTCCTTTTGGATCGGGTTGGATTGGATTGGATGTGTAATGCTCTGAATCACGTGTGACATACTACAATAAACCAGAGGACACAAGTGAAAACTATAGGGAAATGCAGTTAAAAAAAAAGAGAGGAGGGGGCACTTATTTACACAGAGGGTTGTGGGAGCCTGGAACAAACTACTCAACATTGTTGTCAATGATGATACCCCTAGTTTCTTGCAGGAAATGGTCAGATGAGATCCTGAGATTAATTAGGTAATATGAACCAGATGGTCTAGAATGGCCACTTCCAACCATCCATGTTCTAACTGTTTCAGACAATTTGGATGTGCAGAGGAGCCAGGACCTATCCCAGCAAGCAACGGGCAAAAGACAGGATGCCTTTGATGCCAGTCTATTGTAGGGCACTCACAGACACAAATGCACACACACTGACCCCGAGGCCAGTTTTCCCACAAGCCAATTAACTTACTGATATGTTTTTGGACTGTGGGAGGAAACCCACTCTGTAGAAACCTACACAAACCTGGAGAGAACATGCACACTCCTCGCAGAGAGCAGCCCAGGTCCAGCACTGAACCCAGGACCCCCGTTCTGTGAGACAGCAATGCTGACCACTCTGCCCCTGTGTCTTCTGTTGTTTCTCATTTGTCTTACTATCTGTTATCTGATTGCATTTAGGCAACATTCAATTGTGGATTCCTTGAATCCTACAGCACCTGTATATCATGAATAGTAGATAGCAATAATAGCCTGGACACCCTTACAGAAGCCGCAGTCTGCAGTGTTCCAGCTCTTTCAAACCGGAGTGCTCTGAAGAGCTCGTTCACGCCCACTCTTTGGGGGACATGGAGACGTCCCTCTTCTTTGGGACACTGTAACATTACAAAAGAGAGATGGAGGCTGCACTTCATGCAGCGTTGTGGGGAGGGTTCTGAAGCTTTGATATTCTTTTATTAGCTAAGCTAAGCAGGTGTGAGCCTGGTCAGTACCTGGATGTGAGACCTCCTGGGAAAGCTGAAAGAGGTATTAGAGGGGCCAGCAGGGGGCGCTCACCCTGCAGTCTGTGTAGGTCCTAATGCCCCAGTATAGTGACGGGGACACTAGACTGTAATAAGGCACTGTCCTTTGGATGAGACGTAAAACTGAGGTCCTGACTCTGTGGTCATTAAAAATCCCAGGTGTTTCTCAAAAAGTGTTGGGGTTTAACCCCGGAGTCCTGGCCGAATCCCCCCTGGCCTTTACCAGTCATGGCCTCCTAATGATCCCCGTCTCTGAACTGGCTCCATCACTCTGCTGCACGCTGCTGGAGGTGGAGGGGATCCCCATTACCTGTAATGCGCTCTGAGTGGAGTGTCCAGAAAAGCGCTATAGAAGTGTGAGGAATTGTTATTATTACAGCTACTGTACCCCTCCTTGATCTCGGACTGTCTCTCCTTCTGTCTCCCCCTTCACTCTCTCCTCTTCCCACAGCTTCACTCTTCACTTTCTTTCAGAGGGAGGCCGGCTCTTCGCCCTGCTGCAAAACCCGCTGACGGTGCCGTAAACAAGGTGGGAAGGCCAAGGATGAGAGGGAGCTGAGAGGTCAGGAGAGGCAGACGGCTTTACTGCTTCATGCTAATAATTGACGTGCAGAAAAAAGAGAGTTAAAAACTGCCCCAAGGGGCTGAAGAAAAAGGGGGAGGTAGGCCAGAAGTAAGAGCCCCAGTGTTATAAAATTGCTTCTTTTTTGGATTCACAATAGCCGGCATTCAGGACTAATAAGCATAGCTGCCAAGTGATAAAGGCAAAATTGCATTTCAATTGTTTTCACACATGTTAAAGAGGCACGAGCATTGTTGGGCATCTGCTTTATATTAACATGAATGTCGAAACTCCCAAATTTCCTTGAAGTTTATGAGCATAGTGGAACCCCAAGAAATCCAAGAAATTAGTCATGGCCATAAAATGTTTTTTTTTCATAGCTTTGTTTAATTTTAGCTATCTATTTTATTCAGTTATCACAAAAAACATTTAAAGAAAGAAGTATCCTGAGTAGTGAAAATTAAGGGGGATGCAGGTTTAATTCCTGTGATGCTTGTGGTAAAACCCGCTCTGTAATTAAGTGTACGTCGAACTCCAGAAGAAATGTGTGAGTCAAGCTCAAGAAAACACCAGACTATAATGCAGAACTACAGTATATAGCATACTAAAGTTTATATATTCAATTGATTTTTTGCAGTATTTTCACACAGTAAACCTTATAAAAACACGTACTGAAGTACCTTTGCTAGTAACAGTTAATGAATGTACATGCCATTGGTATATTCCTTAAAATGTCCCTTAAAACATTTTACAAATATGAAGGATAACATCATTAAAATGATCATTAAATGATAAAAATGCATTAAATAGTAAAACAAAAAGTGGCCTCTGTATGTGGCTGTTAGTACTTATTGTATTCATGGACTTTATTTTTAGAAAATGCTTCTTATGTATTTGATCAGCCAGTAGAAGTGTTTTCATGGCTTTGAAACTTCTCTCAAAGTTCAGAGTTAAAAGCCACTCTAGGAATTTTAAAAGGCGAAACAAAGACCAGAGCCTTCAGCCTTGTGTCTGAGATAACTACAGTTGATTTTCTGCTTTCTTTTTTTCGTTTTAAAGTCTTTCTGCGTCCTGCCGTTCCTCTGTTTTTTAACCCCCACTCTAATCTCTGTCTCAGGGTTTTGTTCTGCCAACCTCCTGCCAGAGCCTTTGCAGTAAAACAAAGAGCTATTTACACTAATGGACTACTAGGCCTTTCACTCCAGAAACAAACAGCACAGGGGAAATGAATAGAATTTAACATTTCGACATTTTTCCATCTGTTCTCAAAACCAATATTGACCCAGGTCCCCTGCATGGATGCTATAGTACAGAGCTTTAGCAGACAAATCAAGTTTGTGTAGCCAGAACGGCAGGCTGCGCTTCAAGGGGAGAGAGGAACAATGCGAAGCCCAGAGAGGGGCTCTCCTGTGGGCCCCGTGGAGTGACCAAAGTCCTTTGGCTCGGGCTGTTAAGAAAAGCAGGGTTTCTGAAAGGCCTGACGCCTCCCGACCTGTTTTAATGGGTCCGTCTGAGAGCTGCGATTGTGCCTCTCCTCCGGAGCCCGCTGGCTCACAGCGGAGAGGACAGGCTCACGCAGTGACGAGGTCCCGATGTGCGGAGCGCGCTCGGTGGCGAGCGGCGCTGCTGAAAAGCCAGATTACAATCAATTAGGGAGTAATGGGCTGGATTTGGACTTGTAACCTGTGGATTAAGGTTGGTGTTTAGTGGAATCCCGTTGGCACAGCTGGGGCCGCCATCAATAACTTCTAAAATTACTCAGCCGCAGCGTTAAGAAATTAAATAACAGTGGGGATCTCTCGCTACACTCGCCTTCCCCTTCTCCGTAAGAGTCCTTCCCAGTTTTCATTATACTACATTTTCTTTCTCTCTCGGGGGAAGAGTGTTACTCTTGGAAGGGCTTGTGCATAACTTTTCCGGGAAGAAATATCATTTTCTGTTGTTCGCTGCACTTTGGTGGTTTTTTAAAAAACAAGGGTTTCTGTACCTGAGACTGAAACTGGCAGTTTGTGGGCGACAGGAGTTGTGGGGTTTGTGGATTCTAGTGGCCTGCAGGTCTGGCGCGTTCTAGTGACCAGGACATGAGTACTGTTACACCAGGGCCTGTCCTGGACACTTCAGAGAGCCGACCATCAGATCATGAACTGAGAAACAAGAGAATACTTGAGCTATCATACTTACTTAATACTTGAGCTACTCCTTGTCCCTGATGTGTTGTTCATTCTGCATCAGCATTCAGAATGACAAATGGCTCTTTTTGTTGATAGATAAAATAAATATTGATACCCTCTTGTGCAGCTGGGCATGCTGGAGCAGTTCCACTCATGGGTAAGGCAGCTGTGCCTCCACATGGGATTTGAACCCACAGCCTTAGCATGCAGGCATCCCGAGTGGTGGCTGCTCCTCCACGCTTTCCTACTGCAGTTTCACATCGACCCTGAAGACAGGCATCACTGTTACAGTGCTAAATCATGCTGCCCAGGCCAGGTTTTAAGAAGCTGTCATTTCATTTCGACATCTTGGAGATGTTTGCCTCGAGGTGCGTTGTAGGAGGGTTCTTGAACTCAGCCGGCTGTGTTGTCTTGTGATGTGCCATTGTTTACATTATGTTTAATTATGAGCTCTGTTGACACCGCTCTGCTTTGTGCAGATTCTTTACCAGGTCTGTGTTTGCCTCCAGTGTGATCTCGCCTGGATATAAAGGCAGCCAGGTAAATATGCTTATGTCAATCAATGTTAATAGCAATGGAAGTTCATTTTTCCACTGTGAAAGATTACTCCCTAGTGGATATGGCCAATCTCGGTACCCTTCAATTACCCTGATGAGGTTTTTGTGGCGTAACTTTGCCTCTTTGTTTCGGGCTATCGCTCATCATTAGAAGTAGGGGGTGTCGGCCTCGGGGTCATGCGGAGAGTGGAGAGGAAGGTTGGGGGGCAAACCACAAAGCAGTCGATTAACATTCTGCAACTGTAACTGTGTCCCGCTCTCCGTGGGGGATCATTCCAATCCCATATTCGTTTCTTTTCCTGTGGCGGCATGTGTGGCTGTTGTCAGCAGGTGAAAATATCGCCCCAGGGTTTTGTTCTGGGACCCAAGGAGAGTCTTTGACAGGGGTTTAATCCCCCCCCCCCGTCTAGAAGGCACCACCCCATTTTGAGGGCAGGGTGATCAGCCCCCCCAGTTCACACTCTGCTGAAAGAGGATTGGGGATAACTGGCCTTCCAGCATGCTGTGCTCGAGGTAGAGCTGAAAGAGGGGACGGTCTTCTTGAAACACCTGTGTGAAGTGGTCCCCTGCTGGCTGGCCTAATCTGGAAGACTCTGTAAGAGCTGGGGGTGGTGCGTTGAATAAGCATCCCCCCAACATTGCTTTAAACAAATTCCCTGTTCATCACCCGAGCTCACCTCACTGCCCCCGGGTCCGGATCGGAGAGGCCCAGTCGCCTGGGGTTTAGGTGTGGCTCCCTTGATGCCCTGACAGTGAGGAAGGACGTGAGCTATTGAGGCACCCGAGGCCCAGCTGCTGGCGTGCTCGAGGATGTGAACGGATTTCCTGCACTGGTGGTGTTTTCACTTCTGCATCGCGAACGCTCCTTGGTGAGTTTGCGCGGAACGATGTCACCATGCCAGGGCCTTTCAAGGCCCAACGCGCGAAAGGAGGAACGAAGCCGAACACGGGAGAATCGACCTGGCATGTGGTCACTTGTTTCCTGTGCCTGGTCATGAGACACCCTTCCCTCCCTTTCCTAAGAAAAGGTTTTGCCACCAATAATCCGAGCGAACCCAATGTACAAACGGCCCAGCGAGTGACACAGGCCGAATGGCCTCCTCTCATTAGAATCCCCCCTTACGATCCTGTGTATCACACACGATCACATGGAAAAAACGATTTCCTCCTAGAGCTCTCCACACTCAAACACCGGGATGTGTTTTCCTGTCCTTGTCATGGTGGAGGGCTCCCCCTTTCAGACAGAAAATGTGGGACCTCACTCTGTGTCTAACCCCTCCTGCTGTTTCCCCTCTGCCGCAGTCGCTGTGGAGGTTAGCCATGGAGCGCTGAGTCGATTTTTAGCTTTCAGTTGCAATGTGATACTCCCTCCTTTTCGTGCCCCGTGCTCTGCTGTCTGCGTCTCACAACGGGCTGTGAAATGGGGGAGACTGAGCCCTTTCTGTCTGTGTCTGGAGCTCTCTCTCTCTGCCCTTGTCTGTTCGAAATGCAGAGTCTGGAAATACTCTTAAACCCTGGCTTATGCTTTCATGGGCAGTTCAGTTTTAGAGTAACTCTTTTCTTTAAGAAGTATTTAGTTTTGTCTATCTGCTTACCTGTATACTGTAATGATTTTATTTTGGTCTTTATGGTAGCCTTTGTACAGCGCTCACTTTGGGAGGTACAGTACGAAAATACTTTATAAGTAATTATCTATGTGATAGAGTGATGTACCCCAGTTCTGACAATGGTAAGACATATTGTCATAACAAAGGTAAAGCAAGATGCAAACCCTGAGAAACCACAACAATGCAAATCAATGCACATGATGAGCCTGATGAAACCATGAGCACAACACAGTGGTTATGCACACTCAGATCAGCTGACATTCAGGTTAGCACCGAGAGCTAACCCGAGCACAATCCCCAGTACTACACTTTTACCCAGACCTTACCCTAGACTGCTGCCAAGCCTCTGCACAAACCTGCCCTCTAGACACACATGCAGAAGTAGCTAACAGGAACATTCAGATTCTTTATAACATTTGGAAACAGCTTTCAATTGCTGATGAGTATAAGGAGCATCAAGGCATTTCTCACTGCTTCAGCCACAGGGGGAGAGCGGTCAGTAAATAGAGAGAAGGAAAATTTAATAACCTGGAGATCTCTGGGATACGCTCCTCCCTGTAAAAGACTCCAGTTTTAACAATGTGATCTCCAGGGTCTTTGTGCCCCAACCCCCCAGACCCGAGCTGCCTCTCCTGTGCGATATTGCTCTCTGTGGGGCTTCAGTAAAAGAAGGCAGAGAAAATCATTATTATTTCGAGGTTCTCGTCATTAAGACTGGCTGGAAATTTTCCCAGGCTGCAGTGGGGGTAAACTCACCCCCCAGCAGGGCTGTTTTCTCTGCGGTTTTATTAAGAAAAGAAGAACGTTTAGTTGACCCGGCTGTCGCACCC